TTTATTTACCTAATTAAATCAATTTAGAAATAAAATTTTATGTTATCTTCTTAAATTACCTTGTTTTATTTGAAACGCTTCTAACAGCTGGTACTTAAAAAAAAAAGTATTTTCATAGGCTGACGTAATAAACCCACCGAGTTCATATAAGTAACTATGTATTGCGGTTTCTATGTATTGTAATAGAAGTGCATGACGATGTTGTTGATAAATAAAATATATATAAAAAAATAATTACTATTTATTGCAAAATTTATGTTAGTATTTAAAACCTACGATAAGTGTCAACTCACACTAGGTGTGGAAACGACCCTATATATATATATATATATATATATATATATATATATATTTTTTTTTAATTATTCATATTTTTGGAGAATTTTATGTTTTTTAGGTGTACACCTAACCAAATTCTATTAATTTACAATGAGATTTGTAAATTTTTATTGATATGGTTCAATTAAAAAAAAAAAAAAAAAAAAAATTATTATTGCGTCACTCATCATAATCTAGCATTACTACACTTAAATTATTAGATTGCTCCAAAAAATTTGAGAACAAAAACATGTGAACACATTCACCAGTCAGAACTGTAGAGTTATCCTTACTAAACTCCTTAACAGCTAGTTCAATAGGTTTTAACACTTTTAAAACACATAAAACTATATGTTCCTTTGTCCGAAATGCTTTTTAAATGCAAGGATTCAATTTTCCCTTTTTAATCAAAAGGAACCAAAGAGTACCAAAATTTAAAAGTTTTAGCAACTTTTGACTTTCTTGTTCAAAAATATGTTTATGCAATATGGAGCTATAAATGGTTGACAATATAAAACTTTTTTATAAATTTACCTGAATTATTCAATAAAGAATAATTCATATATATATATATATATATATATATATATATATATATATATATATATATATATATATATATATATATATATATATATATATATATATATATTGTTGTTTATTATTATTGTATCTGGTTGAGATACAAATCCTCTTGTTTACTTGAGAGTGATCAATATAATGTAAAAATAATTTTTACAAAATAGATCAATATATATATATACATAAAGTGTAATTAAATAGAAAAATACAACTTTATAATGGAACTAAAAGTTTCATGCCTATCGACAATCTTCAGCCATATATATTATACAAATCAAGAAAAAACCGTTAAAAAAATACAAAATACAAAAACAGCAGTAGAATGAGTTCCGACGTCAAAACAAAACGAATAAAAAAGAAGCATAGTTGTAAAACTGCTAATCGCCAGTGTCAAATTGGGCAAGAAGAAATTTGTTTTTATGCCGGCACTTAGATAATATTTCACTCTTTTTATTTAACAAATTTGGGTGTTTGAAAAATAAAATTTCGTACTTTTCGTTTAAGCATAAGTTACATCGTTTTGTTACAGGATTATAGGCATCGCACCGCTTAATTATTTTCCACCTAACAACCGGGTTTAAGTTTTCATGTTTTAATCTCCAAACCTCCTTTGATAATTCAGTGTCATTTTTGCACCCAGGAATTTTAAAAGATTTTATGTGATTAGCATATCTAATTTTAAAAGATGTTTCGCTTATGCCAATGTAAAATTTATTGATAAGAGTTTGAACAAGATTGTTTGAGCATACATTAGCTTGATATACTATATTTTTTGTTAAGCATTGGTTTGATAAAGGGCAGGTGTTTTTATCTATGCAATTGCAATTATTTTCAGCTGATTCTTTCTTGTTGTTTATAACATGGCGATTGTGGGCGTTTAAAACGGATTTCATATTAGGAATACAGCTATAACTTACTTTTAATGTGTTTCTGTTAAAAATTTTGTGCAACTTGTGACTTTTAGGGAAGTGCTTATCAATTAATATTAAAAATATTTTTCCTATATTCGTGCTGACGTTTTTGCTAGAAGGCGCGTTGAACCAAATGATGTTAGGTTTACGGTTCTTAGTGTGAGATAATATTAAGTTAGGTTGGTAAGAAAGATTGTAATTAAAACCGGACTTTTTTAATGCTTCATTATACATTGGAGTGGATTTTTGAAAGATTTCCTCGCTTGACGAATTTGCTGATAATCTAAATTCAATAGAATGTGGGAGTTGCTTTAAAATACTGGATGGGTGGTTTGATTCAGCATGAATGTAATTTAAAGAGTTTCCGGGTTTAGAGTAAGGTTGGTAGGTGTGGTTGTTGAGGTTAAATGTAATGTCCAGATAATTTACGATTTTTATGTTGCACTGTGTTGATATCAGAAGATTGTTCGATTTAAATATTTTAACAACATGTTTTTTATTTTTTCCATATGGGGACCACTGATGTTTTTAAAAATCGCCAAACCGTCATCACGGTATAACCCGAAATCATTCTTATTATAAAACTGTGTAATCTGAAATAAAAGAAAAATCCCCACAAGTTCACACACTTCGGCGCCACCAAATGCTCCCATCGAAACATCAAATAATCCGCTTGACTTCTTAATCCAAACTTGATTGCTATCAAACAACAGTGACTTTCTGGCGTGGTAAATAATCCATTTTTGCTCAGGATCTATAACCAGACGCTGCTCAGCAAAACTAATAGCATTTTTAAGTAGTTTTTCACTTATTGAGGGATAAAAATCAACAATATCAAAAATGAGAAACTTATAAAGGTTTGGATCACTGATCGACTTTAACCAGCATATTACATCTTGTGTTTTTGGCGATTAGCAGTTTTACAACTATGCTTCTTTTTTATTCGTTTTTTTATTCGTTTTGTTTTGACGTCGGAACTCATTCTACTGCTGTTTTTGTTTTTGGATTTTTTTAACGGATTTTTCTTGATTTGTATAATATATATGGCTGAAGATTGCCGATAGGCATGAAACTTTTAGTTCCATTATAAAGTTGTATTTTTCTATTTAATTACACTTTATATATATATATATATATATATATATATATATATATATATATATATATATATATATATATATATATATATATATATATATATATATATTTATACTTAAAAAAAAGTGACTTAAAAGATTGCAAATTATATGAATCAGGAAAACAAGATGAAAGAAACGAATTCTAAAGAATTGATGTTCATGGAAAAAAATTAGATAAAAAAATTTTTTTGTAGCACTTAGGAACAGTAAAAAGATGACACATATAAATGACGAGAAACATAAAAGTGAATTTTAGTAGATGGTACATAAGATGCTAGCTCTAAAGAGCAGTGCCCTTTATAGTATTTATAGAAAAGAGAAAGAGAATCAATATTAGAACGAGGTGATAATGGTTGGAGGTTGGCTGCAAGAGCAGGTCCAACTATGTTTACAATGCATTTTTGCACTTTATCTAAAAGAGAAAGGATTCAATAATCTTAAAGATTCAATAGTCAAAGATACACCATAAGAAAGCTTATGGTGAAAACCAGCATGCTAAACTTTACCAAAGACTTTAGGAATGTAAAGAGCAATAACCTTAACCTCTCCACATCTATCTAATGCACGATAAAACCTATCAGTTTTTAGCATTAACAAATTAGCAGTAGAACGAGAAGACCAAAAACCACATTGATAACCAGAAAGTAAGTTATTATATTCAAGATGAGAGATTAAGTGTTTGCTAATTAAAGACTCAAAAACCTTGCTTTGATAGTAAGAAGATTAATGGGACTGTAGTTAGACGAGTCAGATCGCTCCCCAGAGTTTTTGAAAATAGGGATAACAGATGCCACTTTCCAGCAGGATGGAAAAAAAGACTCTGATAAGCACTTGTTAAATAGTTTTGAAAGTATAGACAGTTTTGGAGAACACTTCTGAAAGACTATAACAGGATGTCAAGCAATGGATCAACCTGTTTGTCCGCTATATCAGGTAGAACGCAACTAGTAGAATCAAGAGATGATACTGATGAGAAGTTTTTAGCAAACAATTCAGCTTTGTATTTAGGTGAGGTGAAAAATCTGAACTATAGAAGAGAGGTGGAATAACAGATTTGCCCTTATTTTAGATACTGTTAAAGATTCTCCATAAGTCACAAGATGAGAGGAAAACCACGGAGAAGAGTGAAACTTGGCTTAATATCGCCAAGAGTGAACAAAAGATTTCATGCCAGCCTTAATCAAAGATACATAAGAAGCGTATTTGTCAGAAGGAAGATAAAAGATTTCTACCAAAAACCTTCACAAAGAAAGAGTCCGAGTGATATTTTGTGACCTGAGAATAGTGGGCTTCTGCGCTAGATAAAACCTTTTTGCAATGGTTTCTAGCAGTAGTAAACAGACCTCTGTTTTGTGGAGAATTGTTTTGCTGATAGATATGAAAGTAATGGTTACTATTGGAAATTGCAGCAGCACAATGAGAGGAAAACCATGGAGAAGCTTGGCTTTATATTGCCAAGAGGGAACAAAAGATTTCATGCCAGCCTGAATCAAAGATACATAAGAAGCATATTTGTCAGCAGGAAGATGAAAGATAATAGTTTTAAAGAGATCAAACCATGATTGTAAGCACCTTAAGGTGAATGTGGAGAAACTGAGTACTGACTAGGATCAGAAAGAAGACATAAGTCGAGTAGAGAAGGTAAATGATTCAAATTGTCTGGAAAGCGAGTTAGAAAGTTGACTATTTGTGTTAGAGAGTGAGAAAGGCAAAAGTTGTGGGACTTGAAACCTGCAGAGTCACTGAAACTATAGCCAAGCCATTCAATTGGCTGAAGAATAAAGAGAAAGGGCAAGGTCAATTTGATCAGAAATAACATTAAAAAGAGTGCAGCCTTGTGATGAAGGAGAGTGATGCCTTGTGATGAAGGAGAGTGATGAAGGAGAGTGAGTATATATATGATTAACTAGATGCCATAAACATCAACAATAAAAATAATGTCAGTTTATTGTTTAATTATCTCTGAACAACATTATTTATGTTAAATATAAATTTTCTTTAAAATGCTCCTCACTATACAAATAAAGTATTTAAAAACAAAACTTTTTACCTGGGGTATGCTGGGCCACATATAATTTGAAAACAATTGCCAAATGCAGAACCAGTACTATAAGGATTTTCACATTTTTCGCCGCGGCGTGCAGCCCAAGTACCTTTTATCTACAAATACTTATTTATATTTTTCATTTGAACTCTATTTATTCTGATTATATAGAAACAAAATTTTAAAATTAATTAAAAAATGGTAACTAACATCTTCATTTGTTGTAAGATTTGAAGATACCAAATAAGAATGAAATCCAGCAAGTCCGACAACAGACCAAACTGAGAAGAAACAAATAACTGCAACCATTGCAGTGCATAAAAACATCAAGGAAAATTGTAAAATTGTATTCTAATACCTACAATTATATAATTGTACCTATAATAATACAAACAAGGCCACCGTGTGGATAATTAAGTAGTGCACAACACTACTAGGGACAAGGTTCAAAATCAAAACTTACTATGAGATATATACACACATGATTTTTAAATTTGTTTTTTACTGCAGTAGATTTTTTTTTAAGTTTACTAGTTTTTGTGTTATGTGGAACTTTTTTTAATTAAAATTTTGTATAATAATATTGTATGGATTATGTGGATTTACAAAAAAAAAAATTCTTGTAAAAAAAAACTTAAGTTAAGGATTGAAATTTCGTATAATATAATAAACATTAATATTATTGTTATTATTATTGTTATTATTATTATGATTATCATTTTTATCTACTATTATATATTATTTTCAGGTGTTTACTTAGATTAGTTTATTACTATTTATAAATGACCTCGAATTGTAATTATAACCTCTTTTCAAAATTATATATGTATATATATATATATATATATATATATATATATATATATATATATATATATATATATATATAAATTTTTTTTAAGAAAAGTATATTATATATATAACAATATTGTTATTGTATTTTGTAGTATTTAATCATGGATAAAACGGTACACAACAATTATATGATATTACTAGTTAGCGCCATTCCTGGAAATGATGATAAGAAAGGATCCAACACGGAGACAGTTCTTGTTATGTCTTTTATAAAAACTGAAAGATTTAGGATCAAACGTTATTTGAAGCTATAGGCAATGTGCTCTTGCACAATCAGAAAGCCAATAGTAGGCAGAAACAATATTGGTAGAGTAATCAAAGATTATGAAAAGTAATGATTATAGAAGATGATTAGATGATGATTAGATGATTAGTTATAGACCTTAGATAAAAATTAGATGAACCTAGAATAATTAAATTTAAATAAGAATTAAATTTGACAATTTTATAAAAACTTAGTTGTAAAGGACATGGCTGCTAAGAAAAAGGGGATAATTAAAGTTGAATAAGATGCCACTGAATTTATGAAAAGCATTTTTATAGAGTTGCTAGATATTCTAGGTTGGACAAGGTAGTCACAGAACAGACAAAAAAGAAAATAGACAAAAAATAGTTTGGAGAAAAAATGAAACCATGTAAATCTACTTTTGAAATAAAAAATCTTGCATCAGACAGTAGCTCTTATAAGGATGAGAATATTGAAGAAGTTAGCATCAGAGAACAGAATAGAAAACAAATAGGAATAGTTAAATATCGCATAGATATCCATGTTCCTCATGACTAGAAAGTGATTAAGGTTCCCGCCCTGGTCCCGCCTAAAAATGAGACTTTTTGCAAACCTGGCCCTGGCAATATTCAAAGATTTAGCAGGAGTTAATAGCCGGGACTAAAAATATATTATATATTATAATTAATGATGATAATGATGAACATGATGATGAACATGATGATGACAATAATTATAATGATGATGAGGGTCATGTTGACAATAATGATGATGATAATGATCATCATGTTGACAATAATGATGATGATGATGATGATGATGATGATGATGATGATGATGATGATGATGATGATGATGATGATGATGATGATGATGATAATGTTTATTTATGCATATATACAATATATAACATTAATTTTGAATAAAAAAAATATACTTTAGAATGTATAAGTGTTTATGCAACCCTGGTTGCAAACCCGGCCTCTGCCCTGGCTATATTTTATCAAACCTGGCCCCTGCCCTGGTCAAATATCAACTCCGGTCACTTACCACCATTGTACCCAAAATAAGATCAAAGAAAATTGGATGCCATCACCAAAAATGCTGGTACATTGGAGTGAAAAACTTATGGATATTTTTGATTCCAAAGGAATAGATGACCAATTGCCAATTCTTGTGCCTGGAGTCGATGGGACAAAGGTCAATGTCATCACCTCCCTCGCCCCCACCCAAATCAATTAAAGAAATTAGTAAAGTTTTTAGAGACATCATAGCAAAGGCAACTTAAAAACTTCTTAGATAATTTTTTTAGTTCAAAATTTTCAGGAAAGAGAACAATTGCGTGTGAGTCTCTACAGGATTTAGATCGTTTTCTGGTTCGTTTGAAGTGAGTGAATTATTTTTCAGTCATTGCTGAAAATGTTTGAGAGGTGAGCTCAATAGGCTATACCTTTTGTTTTACCTGCAATCAATATATTATACAAAAAAAAGTAAAAAGCTACTTTTTGCAACACTTATAGTTTTGACTTACAATAACTAACATTTACTATATATTTAGGTTCAAAAAACATTTCTCTCAACTGTCATCAGATGAACAAACAAAGTATTATTACCCTCATATGATATCTATAGAAGAAGAATGCCAGCAAGAGATGGCCAAAGATGGCTTTTCATGAATCTCTTACACAATCATATACATGAGGTGACTACAAAGTGCTAGCTCAGCTTTGTCTGCTCATAATAACTAAGAGTCTGAACCAAAGAACTTCAAGATGCTCTATCATGGTGCCCTTCACAAAGCAAGGCAGATGAGTAAACTGCTTTATATTCTGAAGATTGTGCTTCTGTCTGGACAGATCAAACAAAATTTTCCAAAAGCTGAAATTGTTACTCGCAACCAAATGAGAAAATTGTAATGATTTGTTGTGTTATTAGTTTCAGTTTAAGTGCAGTGGTCCTGTAACCACTGTAAATGCACCAGTGAATGACTATTAAAAAATTTAATAAAAATTGTGAACGATAAATTTAGAGAACCATGTTCTCTAAATTTATCATTCACTATTACTTATTATAAAAACTAATATTTATTATATTTTGAGTCTTATCTCTTGCAAAGTTCATCAGACCTACTTGCACTTAGTGAGACTAATTTAAGTTTGGCTGTCTCATCTTGTGATCTTAGTGTTAATGGTTATCTTCCTTTATTTTGTAAAGACTCCAATAGTTGCATGCTTGGCCTGGGCAATTATATTTGTAAGAATTCACCCATTTGTTGGAAAACTAGGTTTGAATCCACTGACTACTCTTTAATGAGCTTTCTAAGCACCACTTCACTCTATTGACTTCCTCTTTGTTCCTCTCCTTCATCTCAAGACTGCACTCTTTTTAATGTTATTTCTGATCAAACTGACGATGCCCTTTCTCTTTATTCTTCAGTCAATAACGCTGTTGTTGGTGACTATAATACTCATAACACTGAATGGCTTGGCTATAGTGTCAGTGACTCTGCAGGCGTTAAGGCCCATAATTTTTGCCTTTCTTAATCTTTAACAAAAATAGTCAACTTTCGAACTCACTTTCAAAACAATCCGAATCATTTACCTTCTCTACTCAACTTATGTCTTCTTTCTGATCCTAGTCAGTGCTCAGTTTCTCCACATTTACCCTTAGATCACAGTTTGATCTCTCTAAAACCATTATCTCATTTTCTTCATCAGAATCCCCCTATCGATAGTACCGTTTACAACTACCTTAAAGCTGACTAGGACTCTTATTATGATTTTCTTTGTGATTACCCTTGCGTAGATATCTTTCTTCTTCCTGCTAACAAATGTGCTTCTTACATAACTTCTTGGATTCAGGCTGGCATGGAATCTTTTATTCCCGCTCGACGATTCCAAGTCAAGCCTCAATCTTTTCCTAGGTTTATCTCGCATTACGCTGCTGCAATTTCTATCAGCAAAACAATTCTCCAGAGAACAGACGTCCCATTACTATTGCTAAAAACCATTGTAAAAAAGTTTTGTCTAATGCTGAAGCCCGCTATTCTCAGGTCATGAAATCTCATATTTCATCTCAAAAATTAGGCTCTGGTAACTTCTGGAGAATCTTTAACAACATCAATATAAAGGGCAAATCTATCATTCCACCTCTTTTGTATGGTTCAGATTTTGTCCAGGGTGTCCACTCAAAAATTTTAAAAAATCCAGCATTTATTCCATCATATAGACATGTTTTTCCAGGATTTTAGCCTATTATATCAATTTTCTTCATTATCAGAATCCCCCTAATAGTACCGCTTACAACTACCTTAAAGCTGACTGGGACTCTTTCAGTGATTTTCTTTGTGATGGCCCTGGGGTAGAAATCCTTCATCTTTTTGCTGACAAATGTGCTTCTTATGTAACTTCTTGGATTCAGGCTAAAAATAAAATCTTTTATTCCCTCTCGGCAATCACAAGTCAAGCCTCACTCTTCGCCATGATTTTCCTCTCATTGTGCTGCTGTTTTTTCCAATCATAACCATTACTTCCATATCTATCAGTAAAAAAAATTCTCCAGAAAACAGATGTCAGTTTATTATTGCTAGAAACCATTGTAAAAAGGTTTTATCTAACGCCAAAGCCCGCTATTCTCAGGTCAAATATCACTATGGTTCAGATTTTGCCACCTTACCTAAAGACAAAGCTGAATTGTTTGCTAAGAACTTTTCCTCAATATCATCTCTCGATTCCAATAGTTGCGTTCTACCTGATATAACCGACAAACAGATTGATCAATTGCTTGACATTCGTATCACTCCAGCTTCTGTATTTAAAGTGATTTCTCGGACTCTTCTACAGCTTGTGGTCCGTACAACATACCTGTTATAGTCTTGCAGAAGTGTTTTCCGGAGCTGTCGTCTATACTTTTGAAAATATTTAACAAGCGCTTATCAGAGTCTTGTTTTCCAGCCTGCTGGAAAGCAGCATCTGTTATCTCTATTTTCAAAAACTCTGGAGAGTGATCTGACTCGTCTAACTACTGTCCCATTAGTCTTCTTACTATCATACAAAAGGTTGTTGAGTCATTACAAGCACTCAATCTCTTATCTTGAATTTAATAACTTACTTTCTGATCATCAATATGGATTTCGGTCTTCTCGTTCTACTGCTGATTTGTTAACGATAATAACCGTTAGGTTATATTGTGCATTAAATAGATGTGGAGAGGTTAAGGTTATTGCTCTTGACAATTTTGAAGCCTTTGATAAAGTTTGGCATGCTGATCTTCTCCATAAGCTTTCTTCTTACGATGTATCAGGTAAAATCTTTAAGATTATTAAATCCTTTCTTACCAATCGTAGTATAAAAGTTGTCCTCAATGGACAGCACATTTCTTCATATTCTGTCACGTCAGGGTTTCCTCAAGGTTATATCTTTTGGCCCTATATCTTTTAAATTGTCTGTTAATCGTTTCTTGCTCTATAAACACTTTTCTCTTCCAGTAACTTCCAACTTTAATAGTGGTTGCTTGCATCCTTATTGAAAGTGAAGATATTGGAAAAGAAAAAAAAACAAACTCTATTCTCATTTATGATAGCAGTAAAACCAAACGGAAAATGAAGAAACACATTCTAATCTTTAAAAACACTTTTGTCACAAAGAGAGTTAGACTTGACTTTAGGGGATATGACAAGCTTTCTAGGTGAAACTAGGGATGAGTAGCACTTTCAAAATGCTCTCAAAGTAGCAAAACTTCATAGACAATGGATTTCTATTCAGCAAAAGCTATTTTATGCACAAAAAAAGAAACCATGTTTTCTAGTCCTGGAAAACAAGTAACTTCATTTGGCACTATTATACCTTATTACACTCTGTGAAATCAAAACCATTAAACTAATTGCAAGTTAAATGTAAATGATTTGATATTTTTTTAATGTATTTGTTTTTGATTCCATAACTTTCATAAATTTTGATGAAAAATCTCTAAATAAGAGAGTGACCAATTCTGTGTGCAAAAGAAAAAGTGCACAGAATTCTTTGCACAGAACTATTTTTCTAAACTTTAAATTAATAGGATTTCAATTGATATTCTTTTATTTCATAATTAAAAAAATAAGATATTCCACCACCAATACTACTGATAGTGCTTTTAAACAATGACTTTTAACGATTGTTAGTAAACATTTTATTTATCATAAAACAAATGTTTATATTTTAAGGCAATTTAAATGTTTATAATTTAAAGCATTTTAAATAAAATGACATTGAAACTACTGGCTGTTTATGCGGTAGTGGTGTAGTGGTAGAGCGCTCGCTTCATAAACGAGTGGTTCCGAGTTCGATCCCTACCACGTCCCTGGTAGTACCGCGCTCAACTCGTTTCTCTGCGCAGCGGCCTTGCTTGTCAAGGTTCGTGTTTCGGAGTTATAGAGTTGAGAGAGGGTTATAACCACAAATAAGTAGCCTCCTCATCTGTAGTGGCCTTCTCGGCCTTGAGGAGGTGAATTAAAATAAAAATAAAAAATAAAAAAAATAACCATAGTCATATTTTAAAGAACGTTCTTTAAAAACTTTCTGCTCTTAGAATTGTTCATCTAAAACAGAACAATTGCTTTTAACGTAGCTTGAAATTGACATAAAATTATATTTTCCATAAAAAGGAAAAACATATGAAATTAAATATGAAGACATGTGAAGAATTTCTCACCCCTTCAACCGATATATAATGCACAATAGTCACAAATAAATTGAACTTACTAATAACCATAATAATGAGTGTAAATAAATCATAATGGATTTGACAACTTTTCATATGCCACAAGCAAAAAACTGTTTTTCTATAAATCTTGCAGAGACATAAGCTGATTTTGGTAAAATCCTTAATCACACAGTAAAATGATGTAATATGAGTTAACTATATAGTGTCAAAACATTTATTTTCCTGAATAGGTCACTTCTAAAGTAACTTTTTTATTTCTTTGTAATGAGTATTGAATTCACAACATTATGTTAAAAGGTTCAATACAATTCACAATACAAATTTGCAGAAAAGAATTTTATATTTCATAGTAATCAATTCAAAACTCTTTTGTCAAAAGCATTTAACTTCATTTTTTGGCCTGAAACATTTTGTCTTCTTCTACTTTTATAAAACTGCTTCTACTTTAATAACTTACTTGCGTCGTTATAATCAAATGAATTCGGCATACGCTGTTCAATGTACTTAAAATTCAGGTCATACTTAAAATAAAAGCTTTGTTTTAGGTTACTTTCAACAGTTGAAATAAGAACAGTTTTGTGTTATATTAATCATCTAATTGATATGATTAAATATTCAAATTACTAATATAACCAATCAATTTTAGAACAATGACCAGACAACCAATTTTAAATCAATAACCAAACAACCTTATAATCTTAATAACCGTTTCACCGATATTAAAAGAAGAAAGCTTTAAAGTGGCTCATTTTGTTCTTCAGACAAACCTACCTCTATTTTAACACTTCTTTAGCTACTATCCTCTATTTCTTTACTTTAATGTTTTTTTAACAAATGGTAGAGAAACAATTTGTTAAAACATTTCTTTTAGAGTAAAAAAATAAACATATGCATACTTATTATTCATTCGAACTCATTAGAGCTCTTACCTTAATAACTTAACTCATAATAACTCTTAAAACTTGTTTATTTTGAAAGAAAAAGTCTGAACTGAATGAAAACATTTATTATAAAATATTTTAGAAGTACTGAGTGTTTGGTTTGGGCAGGCAGTCTACCAAAAAATAATTAAGAAAAATTTTTTTTTTTTGTTTTTTAAAATAAAAAAAAACATATAACTGACATTTGATGAAAAAACTTAAAGACGACCATGCAAGAGTATATATATATGTGTGTGTAGGGTATCCCAAAAATGCTTTTTAGGGTCCCCCAAGATCCTTGATCATTTAATGAGTACCATGTTGGGTATCAAATGAAGTGAAATTATAAGAAAATTTTAAAATAATTATATTATATAAAAATTAATATACATATTCAGATTTAATTGGATATAAAATAAAGTGAAAAAAGTGCATTTTGACCAATTTTTTTAACAATAATTTATTTTTTCTATAAGTTTTTAATAGTATAATTCAGTGGTTCAAGGGTCTTGGAGGACCCTTAAAAATACTCTTTACTCAAAAATTTTTAAAATCTAGAATTTTTTTTTTTTTTAAATTTATGTAGACATATTAAGTGGGTGACACTTTTTTTTAAAAAAGTGTTGTTTTTTGGGACAACCTAACATACACTAAATATTGACACTAAGTGGAGATCATTTGAATAAAAGTGGAGAAGCATATATCTTTTTGAAGAGAAGTGGAGAAGCATATATCTTTTTGGTAAGTGCTACCTCATTATGCACATTTGGTAAATGCTACCTTATTAAATCAGTATAGTATTTAGCACCAATAATGCCTTCAAATACAAGTTGTGGAAATTCTCTTATATAATTCAAATATAATCTAAACAATTTAATATTTTTTCTTAAATTCCATAATTTCTGTTTTCATATATTTTATATTTTATACATATTTTATATCTTATTTTTCATTTTAAGTTGAAAAGTTTAATCAAATTTATTTAACACACTTTTAATATATCGTTGACAGAAATTTAATTTATAAAGAAATAATTTTTAACTTTTTTTTGAAACTTAGTCAGGAATGTGGAGTCGTAAAAAAAAGTACCAACTCCGACTCCAACTGTTGAAATTTTCAGAGTACAATTCTGACTTCAATTCCAATTCTGATTCCAAAGCAAAATTTTTGAAATTTCTTTTAAAAATAATACGCAGTAATTAAAAAAAATTTTTTTTTGACAAATTTTGAAAAATTCTTTGAAATTTAAATATTTTGTACATGACATGCAAAACCAAGAAGTTTTACTATTGGAAGTTTTACTACTCTAACTCCGCTAAAAATGTTGTGACTCCGCTAAAAATGTTGTGACTCCGCTAAAAATTGTTGTGACTCTGACTTCACAGCCCTGATCAAAATCAGTATCAGTATCAAATTAATAACAAAAAAGAATATTATAAGATTATTATTTAAAATGATTTATTATTTAAAAGACACAGCTATGCAACTATCTGAATTAAAGTTATGAACTCTGTAGATTCAGTAATATTTAATTTTAAAATTTATTTTTGAAATTGATATAACAATTGAGATAACAAATTTTTTTTAAATGGAAGATTTATAGTAGCAATAGTTTTAATTTATATAACATCTATATATTAATAACAGCATAATAATAATAATGATCAGAACGATCATTGTTGTTATTGTTACTATTAGTATTATTACTTATTATTATTATTGTTAAAGTAATTTTAAATTTATATAAAAAAACAAAATGAAAATAATAAATGAAAAGATATCTTGTTGGATTTTCTCTTAAGGCGCTTACAAATGAACGCAACTCGTTGCTACCTATAATAACAAACATTTTGAAGTTTTTACAAAAAAAAAAAAAATGTTAAAACAAAACTTCTCGTGCAAGAACCTTTAACTTTTGTAACTATGAGGTTTTTTTGCAATTTAATTTTAAAACTTATAAACAACCCATAAATGATTTCAGTAGATAGAGGGGGGAATGGGAAAGGGGTATTGAAAAGTTTTACAATAATTAACAATGGAGAGGGGGTGTTGAAACAACAGCTAAGCAATTTACTCCAAAAATGCTGAGTAAAGCTGACCAATTACTGAGTAAAAGCAATTTCTTTTTTTTATTTACGTGGCCTAATGTCAATTTTTTAAAACCTTGTTTTTTTTTAAAGTTGATGATCTTATATAGAAGTGCTCATCTTAATAAAAAGAAGTCAAAAAGAAGTCCGTAGTCTATCCATTAAAGGAAGAGAAGCTTGAGCATAAGGATCTTGAATAATAAGTATTGTCTTTGGTCAATTCATTCAAATAAAAGGTTATTTAATTCAAATATAAGCAATGCTAACTTTGGTCTAATACTCCAAAACAGAACTAAATAAAAAAATTTAACAAATAAGGATTTGGTTTAGATACATATCTAATTGTAAGACCAAAAATTTTTTTAATAATAAATAAGCATTTTCCAAAATTTTAAAGTTTTGATTTAAAGCTGACTATAATAAAATGCTAACATTTAAAAAGATTGCAAAAAAACAGCAAACACAAACGCAATTTTTTTTTACACAAACTTTTGAAAAGATTGCATCTGATGACACTTAATTAAAATAGGCATAACATCTCAAAACTTTCGTATATTTACACTGAGCAAACCAAATATGCAATTAGAGGTAATTTTCTATACATGCCCTTGTTAAAATATTTTCTATTGAATAATTGAAAATTTCTTATTGCAATTTACAATTTGGTTTCTTTGCATTTTCTTATTAAAATTTTGTTTTCTTAAAAGTATTCTATATTCTAGTTCCAAATTTAATTTCCCTCAAAGAAGTTTATGACATTGAAATTTAATTTCCCTCAAAGAAGTTTATGATATTGAAATTTAATTTCCCTCAAAGTTTATGACATTGAAATTTAATTTTCCTTAAAGAAGTTTAGGACATTTAAATTTAACTTTCCTCAAAGAAGTTTATGACATTGAAATTTAATTTCCCTCAAAGAAGTTTATGACATTGAAATTTAATTTTCCTTAACCCAAAGAAGTTTATGACATTGAAATTTAACGGGTGGTTACTAAAAATCCAGACAAACTTTCAAGTGCAATTACTCCCAAAGTTTTTATGGTAGAGATTAAATAAAACTATCATTAAAAAGAGTTTTTAGTTATTTATTTATTTTAATTAAGTTTGTATTCAACCAGTCTGTTTCTTCGGATTCGGCCAACTCTAACACGAGTTGACCCAAAAAGTGAAAATACAAGGTTAAGGTCAATTTTTTTCAGGCAAAGCTTTATTCTGGTTCGTAGTTGTTTCACGTCTTTTGCTTGCCAGTTACTCTCATACACTTTGCCTTTCAAAATAGCCCAAAAGTCTTTGATTGGGCGACACTCCGGTACGGCTGGCAGATTGTCAACTTTTTTGATAAAATTGATGTTATGAGTCTCGTAGCAGCTGGTCACGGTTTTGGCATAATGCGATGAAGCCAGGTCCGGCCAAAATATGTAATTACCATCGGCATGATAAGCGTTGATGAACGGCACTAATCTTTTCCTAATAGAATTCATTTCATAGATGGCTTTATTGACTGCAAGGCCGCTGGGTATAAAAAATGGTTTTGAAACACCTTTGTCAGAAGCGGCCAGCCAGACAAGCACCTTGGGTTCGAACTTGCGCTTTTTGCGATATTTAACACTTGGTGGAGTCTTGTCTCTGTTGCTAGAGTAGTAGGTGCTGTTTCCATTAATTGTTGAGTGTGACAGCGTGAAGTAAGACTCATCGTCAAGGATGACCGATTTTCCTTTAAAAACGCGATAAAGACGATCAATGTCAGTTTTGATTCGCTCATTCTGGTTCTCTTGTCGATGAGGTATACCCTGTTTTGTATAACTTTTGATGTCAGTGTACTTGGCAAGAATTTTAATGATATGTGAATGACTGCATCCAAATTTTCGACCAGCTTGCCTCATCGAAACTCGGTCACTGTGATCAAATATGGCTTTCAGGCGCTTGATCCTCTTAGGGGTCATGATTTTGGCCACACGACCACTTCCTTGCACTCTTTTGTGCCCAGAATCATTCTCAACACGTTTGATTATATCATAGATAGTGCTTCTTGGGATTTTTTCAGCATTGAAGTGAGCTACTGTAAACTTTTTACCTTGCAATTTATTATTCAAATAGAACTCGTAAATCCGTTTTCTTACCTCTTCTTGCTTGGTCATCATTATTTTTTTAATTATTATTAATTATAAAAAAAAAAAAATTAACTTATAGAGAATTAAATAAGCTATAAAATGGATATAAACATGAATAAAAAAGATTTAGCTTGTGGCATTTAAAATTCAGTTAAAGTTTGTCCGGATTTTTAGTAACCACCCGTTAATTTCCCTCAAAGAAGTTTATGACATTGAAATTTAATTTTCCTTAAAGAAGTTTAGGACATTAAAATTTAATTTCACTCAAAGAAATTTATGACATTGAAATTTGGGATCAGCTTATAGAAGAGCTTAGGGAGGTAAGGGAAAATTTAAATTATAATTATTATTTATAACTCCGTTTATATTTATTGATATATGTAATAATTTAATTATTTATATTCAATAAAACTTACATAAAACTAAATGTGCAACAACACCTGCAAAGATATATATACATAAAAATGAGAGTGACACTAAGAACAAATAAAAATAACGGTAGTTTCTTTTGCCAACACAGTTTCCAACCTAAAGAACAAAATACAAACTGAAAGATAATTTTAAACAAATTTAATTGTTACTCTCGAATTAGGAAATTTAAATCCATTACTAAAATAAATTTATTTGGTTTAGTAGTTGAATAAGTTAACAATTATAAATAAGTTAACCATTATGATCAAAAGTCAATTACAACGATATTAAATTAGTAAAGAGTTTGTTAACTTTAAATTGTTTTTGTATTTCTCTTTAAAATTGTTTTTGTAATTCTTTTAAAAATTGTTTTTGCATTTCTCTTAAAAATATGATGAAAATGATAAATTTTTGTCTGCTATAGGGAAGACCAGAGATGGTTGCATCTTATTTCATGTTTTTTATTTTATCATAACTTCATAAACTAATGCTCAATTACTCTATATTTTTATATGCTATAAACTAAATTTAATGAAAAATTTCTAAGAACAGCCATGAGACATTTTAAGTGACCTGATAATATTTTGCAACCAATCTTACCACAGGGTTGGTTGCAAAAATTCAAGAGTGAAATTAAAGTCACAATGAAGTTCATTATTTGCAACAAACAGATCAAAAACCTTGCTTTTTATAAGATTCTGTTAAAAATATGACATAAAACAATGATAATGATTCAAAAGGGTTAAATCATTATATTAACCAAAATGAAGAAAAATTGTGTGAGTCAATATCTCTGATTTTCCTGATTTTTACATATTGTTATGTGCATTATGTAAATAGGTTAAATTGGAAATTTCAGACTTCTAAGTACAACAGTTCAGAAACTATAGCCTTAGAAACATGACACAGTGGCCCCTCTTGATTTACAAATGGTCCAAACAGACTACTTTAGAGCTGTATAACTTTTTTCTCACTTTCAACAAGTGTCATTTTTTCTAAGACTATTTTCTTGATAGTTTTCTCTTTAGAAAGTGGTTTTTATTACCTTGTATTAAGTTAGAATTAAGTTAAAAATTATGACCTCAATTTTGGAAAAAATCCTAAAATTGCTAAAATATACCAAAATGAAACTAACTGTAGCATTTTTCTATTCATCCACAAGTCTTTACAAATAAGTTTTCTGATTAACTGTCTGCAATAAATGGACAAAATATAGGCAGCTTGTTGCAGTTTAGAACTTAAATGTATCTAAAAGCAAAATGTTCATTCGTCTAAAAAGTCCAATTTTCAGCCATTTGGAAACGTTTGTAAATTTAATAGTCTAATAGTCTAATATGATTAACAGCATATTAGACTATTAAACCCAACTATCTGAAAATGCAAACATTACAAACTTGTCAAATTCACACCAAAAATGCCAGCATTTGTAATAAATTTTTAATTATCAACAGTTGAATGTGTTATTAGAATCCAGTGTCCCTCTAATTGTCCTCTCCTTGATCTGGTCTATATAGTAGATAGTAGATAGGGGCACAAATAAAGGGGCAGTAACATTTTAAAGACCTTCATTATGGTTCAAATGAAGGTATTTAATTTAATTTAGATATTTAGATACTTAATATCTAAATATCTAAACTAATTTTAAATTGAAAGCAAAATTTCTTTAAATTCTATTTTATTATAGGTGATCAGTGGTACGTATGGTCTGGTCAGTAATCACCCCCAACCCCTCCCTAATGGGATCGGGGCAGGGAGGAGGGTTGGAGTGGCACCAATCTAAGGGGTAGGGTGGGGTGGGGGTGGGGGGTGGTAAAGGGGGCCAACCAACTTTTAGTAATTTAATTAACTTCTTTTTAGCTCCAAAGTAGTCTGTTTTGACCATTTGTAAATCAAGGGGGGCCACTGTATTGTGTTTCTAAAGCTATAATTTCAGAACTGTTGTACTTGGAAGTCAGAAATTTCCAATTTAACCTATCTACATAATCCACATAACAATATGAAAATCAGAGATGGTGATCCACAGGCCATTGGTTGAAATATAATGATTTGACCCTATAATCATTTGTTAATAGAGAAAAATGATGGACTGCTTAAAGACACTAATAGTTTGTAAAATAGCAAAGCAGTTTTTGCAGAAAAATAGAAGAAAACACAACCAAAAAAACTTTATTATAATAAAAACTAACTCTTTTGCATCAACCCTCAGAAACAAATGCATTAATACTGTTTAAAACTGTTGTTCTAATTAATCTTTAACAAACAATAAAATAAAAATTCAAATTTTACTTCGATTGTACACAGAGAAGGAAAAGGGAAATGTCTTTTATTGACTAACTCTTAAAATCTCTCTAGCTGTTAGCAAGAAAGGAAGTTTTTTTATAATATCTTAACTGGGTAACTGGGTTTTGGTTTTTTAGGATTGACAAAGCACAAATTTTCTTGTAATCTTTTGTTGGCTTTATTGCTGGAGCTTTCTTAGGTTTCAATAGTTATATTTAGAATTTTACAGTTGCTTTGATCTGCTCTTCTTATAATGCTTCTTTGACTAAAACATTGATGCTACTGTCAGTATATCATAAATTACCATATTCTAACCATGATACTGCTTCATCCAGGAATCACATGCACTGTTCACAAACTTCTTCAATTTTGAAGGATAATTGTGATTATCTATCAAAAGTAGCAGTGATGACCGTAATGACCGTACATCCTATGATTCATCCAAATATTAAATTTCTTTCATCTTTTCTCTCGGTAAATGTTTCATTACAAAAAAAAAATCTTTATTTGTCATCCTGATTGATGTGCAACACTAACTGATCAAACATCTCAGATAAAATGGTTTCTGAAGTTTAATATTTGGATGAATCATAGGATGTACAGTCATTACAACTGTCATCAAGATTATTAATATCTCGAAATGACTGTCAACCTATGACAGATAATAATTTATCAAAAAATAAGTTAATGGTTGTGCAGTTGATGCTTGTGGTCAGTTCCAAACTTATTGCTTTTGGAGTATGAACCAACAAAATAATGTTTTGAGCAATAAACCCGGTCCACCAGTTTGCAATTTTTTGTTCTTACCGTAGTGGAACATCAATTTTGAATCACACATTAGAAAAGCAACAGTCGAGCTTATTTGGACAACAGCCTATAGTATGTATCACTAGCTGTAGCCAGATAATCTGCAACTGAATGTTCTTGACATAAAGAAATTAGGTTTGGTTTATAGCCACACTGATGTACTTTATTGCACTATTAAAAATAGTTCAATTGTAATAAAATATTGTAATAATAGTGTTATTAAAATGTATTATTACTATGTGATTAATTTTATTAATAGTACATTTAAATTATTTAAATTAAAATGTATTATTACTATGTGATTAATTTTATTAATAGTACATTTAAATTATTATTTTTATGTTGATTTGTATAAGGGTATTTAACTTAATTTACTTTCTTATATAAAGTATTAAAATTTTTACAATTTTAATACTTTATATAAGTGTGAAATATTAAAATTCTTATTTCACATGCTACAGCCATTTTTCAAAACATCTTAAGATGCTTTTTACATATTTTGAGAAAAACACAATTATATATTTTAAATTTTACAGTTTTAAAAGAGATTTGTTATTCAAACATTTAACTATATACAAGTATTATAATTGTTATACTATTGTGCATTGGCAAAAAAAAAATTTAATCTTTAAAAATAAGTATTTGTGTTGAATTTGTTGTCAGAAAAAATATCTACAGGCTTTATTATTTATTATTAATGATGATTTCTGAGAGTAAATTACTTAAAAACATAAAATTAATGATTTCTGGAGTAAATTACTGAAAACCTGTTACCATTGGATCACTAAAAATGTTCACAATACAAATTAATACAACCAAATCCAAAAAGTACAACTTTTGCTACTTTTTAGTAATTGATAAGAATGACGTCTATTATTTATGCCAAAAATTTTATCTTAACACTTTATCTTTTTATCTTAACACTTTAACTTTTTATCTTAACATTTAAACTTTTTATCTTAACACTTTAACTTTTTATCTTAACACTTTAACTTTTTATCTTAACACTTTAACTTTTTATCTTAACACTTTAACTTCTTATTTTAACATTAAATCTTTTTATCTTAACATTTTAACTTTTTATCTTAACACTTTAACTTTTTATCTTAACATTTTAATTTTTTATCTTTACACTTTAACTTTTTATCTTAACACTTTAACTTTTTATCTTAACATTTTAACTTTTTATCTTAACACTAACTTTTTATCTTAACACTAACTTTTTATCTTAACATTTTAACTTTTTATGTTAACATTTTAAGTTTTCATCTTAACACTTTAACTTTTTATCATAACATTTAAACTTTTTATCTTAACACTTTAACTTTTTATCTTAACACTTTTACTTTTTATCTTAACATTTAAACTTTTTATCTTAACACTTTAACTTTTTATCTTAACACTTTAACTTTTTATCTTAACATTTTAATTTTTTATCTTAACACTTTAACTTTTTATTTTAACACTTTAGGATTAAAAAATACAAGTAATAAAATGATTAGTCGAGCTATTGAACAGATAGTTCTCAAAAATAAGACAACAGCTAAAATATATATAGAATATATAAAGAAGAAGAGTTATTTGTTTAATGAGCTCCTCACCAGTCCCATCACATTACAAACATAAGAATTGTCCCAATTGACTATATTTTTCTTTTCTATAATTTCACATTTAAATGTTAAGAAAATGTTGGCGGATTTTAACAAGTACAAAAATGTTGTTTGGTATAAAACAACATACAGTAAAACTATTTAAAAAATTAAATATTTTGTTTGCATATCAAACAAAAGAAGAATGTTACTCATGCCTTCAGTTCTTTTTCACACATTGAACGACATGGAATAATCACATAAAAAGGTTTGAACAAGCAAAAACGAATATACATTTAATGCTGATCAAACTGTTAGTACAAAAGAGTCAATAGTGGCCATAGATATGGAAAGAAATAATTTAAAAAAAAGCATGATAAACTAACCAAAATAATATTAATAGTATAGATCATCTAGGTCATATTTGAAAAACCTGAAAATTGTTTGGGTAAAATATCCAAAATATATTTTCCTTATTTTCCTTTTAACTTTTTTTTTAGCTTAATTTTTTCTAATTTTTTTTTCAAACTTTTATTTTTCTATGAGTGCTGAGTGAAAAAGCTTAATAAACAAATATATTACAAAAAATTTATACCTAAACTTAAATGTATAGAAAATGTTTTAAATATCCGGAAAAATAAAAGCTGAAAAAAATATCCGGAATATCGGAAATGGATAATCCTTGTAATAGTGTATATAAAAAGGTTAGTTATGCAACTAAGTTTATATGCATATTAATACATGTTTATATTATTTTATTTAGACATATGGTATCAAACTGTTCAAATCTGTTGTAAAATTTGTTTTGACATGTGTATTTACTTTTGTTTTGATTTATCGTTATTTCACATTAATTAATTTTGAAAAATTCTTAAAGAACTTTTTGTTTTTGATAAGTGTTAAAGCATGAAAAAATTATGTAACTTTCAAACATCAAATAAGATCATTTTTGTTAAATTTTTTTTCTTTATTGAAACAAATATTTTCATTATTAGAGTTGTATTGACTTTGAAAAGTTTTAATTATTACTAAAAGTAACCTATTTATTATAACCTAATTGTTACTAAAAGTAGCATTTTAATTATTATTAGTACTAAAAGTAACCTTAAAGTAGTAAATAGGAAAAATTCTTTTTTAAAAAAATTTAAACCGAAAAGTTATATATATGCTGTTGTACACAGGTGGTTAAGTGTTAGTATTGTTTTACAGAGGTGATAGGGTGTTAGTATTGTTTTACAAAGGTAGTAGGGTGTTCATACTTGACATTTGAATTAACTATTACATTAAACTTAAAAAAAAAGATACTATGATTCTATAATATTATAACAAATATTATTTTAAAATGCATTACTAAAAACTTACCCATGGGCAATGGTGATCAAAGCGTTCTAAAAAAATATTATAATTTCTTTTTCAATACATATTCTAATAAATTACAAAAAAATTTCATTTAAACTTTCTGATAAAATCTAAAAAAGTCAACACTATACACTATAATATATATATATACATATTAGGGTGCGTCATAAACCTCAAAATTGCAGTTTTTCGTGACTTTGAGGGAGGGTCAAATGTAAAGTTGTATAATTATAATTTGATAAAAATTACACATTAGTCAAATGTAGTATGATTCATTCATTTTAATTTTTAATTCAAAAACTTCAATTGCATGATAATATTTTAATGTTCATTAAAGTTTTTAATAAAGTTTAAATAAATAATCATATTTGCTCTTTTAGATGATTAGATGTGAATAAAATTATTTTTTGTGTGGGGATAAATGCTGGTCAAGTATCTTTGAAAAATGTTTTTAGTATGGAGACAGATATTTACTGTTAAAAGTTTAAGAATACTAATGTTAATAAAGTTCTTGTTTTGACTTTTGCCATAAAAAGTTACTGAAAATCATGCAAACCTTCAGATTCTTATAAAGAAAGTAAATCTTGACAATTTAAAGTTTTACTTAGTTGCAGTTTTTAGGCTGCTAAACGTAATTGCAGGCGATTATGTTTAGCAGTTTAGTCATGACATGAAGGAAAACACCAGTGCTTAGATTGTAATGTTGAAACATTAATCCTGGAAAAGTTTCAATCAATATAAGTTACTGTTTCTATCAATAGAAGTTACGGAAACTTTGATAAAAATAAAGAAATGTTTTTTAAAATGTAAAAAAAATGTTACAATCCATGTCTATTTGATGTAGCTGAAGATAATAATGTACTTCCGGTACTTGTACTAAATTTATTTACAAATAATAATGTACTTGTATACTCTTTATATCTTCTTTCACCAGAACTTCATTTGCTTATAACGATTGTAACAATGATTTCAAATGTATTGCGTAAGAAAACTGTTATCAGTGTCTGGCTAAATAATCATTAGATAATTTGACAAAGTGAAGGTGGTTTAGATGGTAGAAATTCTAATAAAATTCAGAACTTCTGCTTTCGAATTTAACATCATAACTTAACATAACATGAAATTATTACATAATGTAAACTTAAACACCAACCTTTAGTACTAATTAAATGCTTTAGGATTAAACTTCATGAAGGTTATAAAGAAAACATTACAAAGTATGTTGAGAAATTGAAGGTAAACTTTAATTAGAAGAATTTTTAGGAAAAGAATTATTGAATATGAAGTTAAGTTATAATAATAAATATTTTATGTAGTAGACATACTATTTAGTTTTTAGTTCTTACTTTAATTTATGAAACTGAAATTCATGTAAAGATTAATTTAAAAAGCAACCTTTCAATGGGATGGAGAGGTCATATTATTTTTATGTTTTCCTAAAAAAAATTAGGATGCCATTAGGAGTGTTTACTGATTAATATTCTGAACCTGTTCATCACAACACATTTAAAACTCTGAGTAGATTCTTAACTTCTGAATTTGAATCACGGAAAACTTCTGAGAATATAAACCAATAATTAAATAATATCAAAATTTTGTGAAAGCTTGATCCATAATTTTATACTAATTTCTTATTGTATTATATTCTTGTTATATTATGTCTTTTATATCATGTTTTAAGTATAATAATACTTAATTAATACATATTTGTTATTTTAATACTCTATAAATTACATAAATCTTAAATATTCGTAAGTAAAGCACTTTGTGGGCTTTATTCTATATGTAAATATGAAAATATTTTTTGAAAAAAAAAATAAAATATTTTTTGAAAAAATATTATAATATTATAATATTCCCCCAAAACATTAGAAAAAATTTAGGGGAGAGGGACAAAATTTAAGGGAGAGGGACAAAATTGCCCAAATTACCTAAAAAATTGAATTACTCGTCAGGATGTACATAAAATGTTTTGAAGTAATCAACCAATTCATATAACATTTGACTAGACTTTGCATCTAAAATCATAGACATTTTTGCATTGGCCTTATTACTAAGGATTTTCCATTCAAAATCTCAATAAATTTGCAAATTTGAGCATTTTGTAGTTATAATAAAAATCTTTCTGAATGTAAATTTATCTGAGACTTTTTGATAAAATTATTTTAAGATTAAAAATTTGGTGACTTGTGACTATTTATATTTATATAGCAGGGATGCGAAGTCCCAAAAGGACTCTAGCTTTTTATCTCCATTTTTTTCAGGTCTGTCGTGTCTAGAAGCTCTAAACATGTTTGTTGACTTATGGTTTGGTATAAGAAAAAAATTCATGAGATTTAATGACTTGGAACTTATTGTTTTTAAGTCCTGGAGTCCTTGCCGCCATTATACCTAAGGACTCCGGGTTAAAAAAATAATTGTTCCTCTTACCTCAAAGTTTTATTTTTTTTCCTATTAGTAGTCCATAAACTTTTTTATATTTGTAGAGCTACTGGATGCCAAAAACTAGGAAGAAGTAATATTTTTGTGACTTTAAAATCCGGAGTCCTTTTTGGGACTCTGCATCCCTGTTATATGGGCTTCTATTCATTTTTATATGTGTGTTTATTCATTCTTACATGCATATTTATTCATTCTTATATGTGTATTTATTTTTTCTTATATGCACATTTATATGCAAGTCAACTACCCATAAAATCTCTAATATAATTTTATATAAAGAATAAATAGACTTTTATGTTTTTATATAGATATATTCAAAGTATAAATTAGGTTGTTGCCACTGCTATTTATTTAAAAAATGTTTACCAAGCCAGCATTAGATTTATGTAACTATGCATATGGTTATAAAATGGAATTAAATTAAACTCTGTAGTATCCATAATATTTTTAAGTTTCTTGATTACCCATCCATATTATGAGGCCTTTCTCCTCTTTTTGTAAATTTGCTTTAAAGTAGAAAAAAATACTATTGGATTAAGATGTGGCATGTATGCTAGCAGATACTTTACAGCTATGTCATGAGAGGTTAGTGTTTTCCTAACAGACAGACTCCAGTAGAATTTACAATTGTCCATAACAAGCACTGGCATCTGCATTTCTAATTGATGGTACCAACATTAATGAAAGTACAAAATGAATCTGCATTCCAGCCTCTAGTTTTTATTTCATAAATCAACACTCCCATTTTTAAAACAGCACAAATCAAACTAACATTTTTGCCACGATTTGCAGACAACTGTAAAACTGCTGGCACACCTCTTAGCGAATAACCATATGTGCTGTTGGTGTGCACATTAAATCCAGTTTCATCTAAATAAATAAGTTTTTTATTTGAAATTCTGTTAATTTTGTTTGTAAATGCATAGCATGCATCAATAGCTTGTGTTGAGTTTTGTTCTTCTGGCACATGCACAACACGCTTTCTTGATAAATCCAAGCGTTTGAGTTTTCTTGAAATAGTAGGCATAGACATGTTGAAGCCAGCTGCAGAAAGATGTTCTTTTATTGCTTCTTGCATACAAAGATTGTTTTCTTCGTACACATAATTCAATATTTTTTATTTTAGAATTTATAGGTCTTTTACCTAGTTTTTTTTTTTTCAGAAAACAACTTGAATGCAGTCATTTAATAACAAAATTTTGAAATGTGCACTTAGATAAATTAAGAGAACTGGAAATGCTTGTTGTAGATTCATTTCTTTCAACTAAATGCTTAAGTATGTCAATGTGCTCTTTTATAACATTTTTCCCTTTTTTTTGATTGGCACTGATTTTTTTTCTTCTACCTACAGGGTAAATATTTGTGTATCAATAATAATTATAAATAATTAAATTAAAATCTAGATAAATGAAAAATTAGATAAATAATAATTTAATCAATCAATAAATCCAATAATAAAATTAAACAAAGACCTAATACTAAAAAGTAAGAAAAGTAAGAAAAGTTAAAAAAAAGAATTTGTACCTGTTTGCTTGAGTTTGTAATAACTTAATCAATCAATAAATTTAATCAAATTAAACAAAAATCTAATAAATTAAATAAACATCAAATGTAAAAAGTCCGTGTCTTAACCTTGTTTACCAGGAAACAAGAACAATTTGTTTTGAAAAACTGTGCTTTTTTAAAACGCATATAAGAATGAATAATTTTGCAATATAAGAACAAATAGATATGCATATAAATATAAATAAATATGCATATAAGAATGAATAAACATGCATATAAAAATGAATAGATATGCATATAAAAATGAATAACCCTGTATTCTTGTACTTAATATTAAAACTGAGTTTTATAGTTGATATGAAAATTATATATGAAAGAAACAAAACTCAGAAGTCAGAAAAATTTTTAGCCATTTTTTTTTCTCTTGAGATTTATAATGTTCTGTAAAATGATTTTCCATTTTTATCATTTTTCCATTTGATATGTAACTTTCAAACATCAAATTTTATCATTTCCATTTAGTCTAATTTATTTTTCTTCTTTATTAATGTATCTACGGATATATTAGTGAAGAAGAAATTTCTCCATCATTCCTACATTTCTTTATGCGTGATCATTTACAACGATCAACATTTTGTCATAAGCTAAAAAATGTTTGTATTATCACTTTGAATAGCAGCTGAGGGGCAGTAGTTAGAGTTCAAGCTCAAAACCAAGAGGTTTTTGACACCAGCTCTAGCCCAATAAGCAACATTGGAAAGGAAGGAGGTGTAAACTTCTTAACTAAATACTCCTCTACGGTGATCTGAAATAAGACTGATAGGTCTACTTGGAGCACCTTAATAACATAAAAAAAAAAATTCTGATTAGATTAATTTTTTCTTTAATATCCACTCTAAGCTTAATTTCTATCTATTTAATGATGGCATTTTGTAATTTAAAATTGATTTAGCAAAAAGCTTTTTATCTTTATCTGGAATGTTATAATCTAGGAGTTAAATGAAAAAGTCCCAATGATCCCACTCTTTATAGTTTAAGGGTAAAGTAATGCTATAGTACACCAAGTGCCCCCAGGAAGCAGCACATAACTGAGATCAGACACAAAACTGCCCAAAAAAAAATTTAAGTTTCTCAAATTGAAAAAAATGTAAATTATACCATGTACCATTATTCTGACAGGCAAAAAAAAAGTTTTTCAACATATTTAGAGACAAGATGGTATTTTCTTGGACCATTTTGATAATCTAAGAATTCAAGGTCTTTTAGTTTTATAAGATCTTCAAGAAAAAAATTACTTCAGATAAAATCTTTTAATTCTGAACATCCTATATAAAAAATATGTTTAAGGAAATTTTCAAATTCTACTAGGTTTTTAAAATTTTGTTTTGAGTTTCTTTTTGCATTCTTCAACAAATTAGAGCATTTTTGCAGACAGGGTAAAAATATTTGAACTTTATCAAAACTTCAGCACTAAAGCAAAAATATTATATACTAATTAAAGGGTTTTTATTTTAATATTTTGTTTTAAACAAATATTGATAATTTAATCACTGTATTTTAATTGATTAAAATAATAAGGATTTTTGATGAGTTTAAAAATTTGGGGACAAAGCGTTTATATATAAATTTTATTCTTTTTGAAGAATTCTTGAACCAATTTGCCTGTGTGTTTTCCTAATGTTAAATCTATCCACGAGGTATTGTATATTTCTTGATCAATAGTTCTAATATATCAATGGAGCAGATCAACACCATCCCAACTAAAAGGTCCCAAAACCATTACATTACCTTCTCCATGTTTTACAGTAAGCCGTTGGATTTAGGATCATACTCTATCTGATGCTGTTATGCAATTCTCCATGGGCGTTTTAGTTATCCGAACTGCATAAACTTGTTTTCATCCCAAACAAGATTCTTTGATCAATGTTGACTACTCCAGTTTAGATGATGTTATGTAATTCTTCACGGGCGCTTTAGTTTTTCAGGCAAACCAAGGCCTTTTAGGCTGAGTCTCTTTTAAACACATTTACATGTCACAAACAACGTTTTGTAGTAGAAATATTACAATTAATTACATAAAAAGGTTTTATTAGTTCACTTAAATCAATATTTATCAAATGGGGTTCTTTGTTGCTTAATGTTTTATTTATTTTTAAAAACTAATGTTCTATTTTTTTTTTAATCTTTGCGGATCCTTAAGGTTCATATCTTTTCATAATTGGTCTATCAGCAGACTTACTGGCTCCATAAAATTGTTCTGTTTTACAAAAAGAATTTCCATTTGAACTGATGCTCCATTTGAACTTGCTATCAATTTTTTTAATGGAGATACTATACTTTTCTTTTTCCCTGTGACCTCAATGAAACTTTTTAATTATTTCCATAAATTGTTTGCTTTTAACATTAACTAACTAGCAATTTTTTTGGGAAAATGTGAAATACTACAGTATATTGTAAATTTTTGAGCTCAATAAAAATCATTAATTTAAATCAATTAAGATACGTAAATTAAATGATCAATATTCTTTTAAAACAAAACAGTTAACATGAAAGTCTTTTATTTGTATATAATATAATGAATTTAGTGAAGTAAGAGCTGAAATATTAGTAAAACTCAAATTCATTTAGCCTGTCTGCAAATATTTAGAAACTACTATAAGTTTTGATAAAATAGTATTAAACAATAACAACAGTATGTTAACATAAAGTATAAATTAACATTCCAACATTTGTATCTTACAAACTATAATGGTGGAATGGTGTTGACATTGAGATAAAGAGTGCATAATTGAGCATGACCTATTTTTTAGGTAACTAAAAAATACCTTAAAATCTATTAAAAATCTAATGTCTTTATTGCCATACAATGCATATCTGAAATAGAGGCTTTATTAATAATCTAAAAAGTTTTCTTAGAAGATCTCAAACTAATTTTTGCACAAAATCTTTTCAGAAAATTTCAAACTATTTTTGCGTAAATTCTTCTGATAACTAATATTAAGACTTGATCACATAAAATTTTTTAATTGTTAAATTTCAAATTAAAAAAAAGTTTTCATATTCAAAGCTGTGCTTTATGAAGAAATGCACAGGCTTTAATGTAGAAATGCACAAGCTTCATTTAACTTAATAAAAGTTTTCATACTTCTAAACTCATGAAAATTTAGTGAGAAATTAGTGTAAAAGCCATTAATTTTATTTTGGGAAGGGGAAGGTGGGGGAAAGTAAGTCAAGAACCTAACCTCATTTATGATAACATAACAAATTAAAATAGCAGCAAGGTATACATTTTTTAACCTTAAAAAAAAAATTTTAACCTAGAAAAAAACAAATAAGGGATATTTTTTTAATTTACCAGAATTCTGACCTAATTTTATTCTCCTAATAGTTAGTAATACAAATTAATATAACTACAAAACAGACAAATTTTACAAATTTATTGAGATTTTGAATAAAAAATATTCAGTAATAAATATTGGCAAAAATATGTATGACTAAAAATATTTATGATTAAAAAATTTTGAATGCAAAGTATATGTATTTTAAGCTTATTTTTTCAAATTTTACTAATACAAGTAAGTTTACATTAAACCCTTGTTTTTTTGTTTCGAAAATTTCCTCAAACTGAATCACCCTAATACATACACACACATACATACATACATACATACATACATACATACATACATACATACATACATACATACATACATACATACATACATACATACATACATACATACATACATACATACATACATACATACATACATACATACATACATACATATTTATGTGATGACACTTAGACACATATTCATTTTACTTGTTTAATAAAATCAAGTGTGATGAAATTATGATACTCCAATATAAAAGTACACAGTTTCCCACCAACCTGAAAAGTACACAGTTTCCCACCAACCTGAAAGTACACAGTTTCCCACCAACCTAAACTGGTTCTGCCCAATCTAAGATTTTCCATGTAAGAATAGGATTTAAGCCCTTTTATTTTGATTTTCCATATAAATTTGGAAAATTCAGTAGAGTTGTTTTTATTTTCATAAAGGAAAGAAATTTTATGTTTGTACCATTAACCTCCAAAGTTCAATATAGTAGAAACATTCTTCCAGGTGACTTGTTTAGATATTGCAAATGTAAATAAAACTCTGACACAAACTTTTTCCATAAGGTAGTCATGAATTAGTCTGTTGATAATGTTGGAGGATAGATTAGTTTTATTGTAGTGAGAACTAATTGATGTTTAAAAGAGAGCTTTAGCTAACTTTAACATTTTTTTCTGTTAAAAAATATATGTAATTCAAGAACTTTTGGGAAGCTTTTATCAATTAAATTAAAGAAGATTTTTTGCTATGTTTGTCTTTAAAAAATTTAGACATTGACGATCGATTAGAATGTCTTGCATGAATACAGCGTTTAATACCATAAAAATATTACCAATAGAAAAGTCAGAAAAACTTTACTAGATAACATAAACAAGAAAGCTAGAAATGTGTATATCAATGACAAAAAAAAATATGTTTTTTTTTTTTCAATAAATTTATCCATCCATTTCTAAACACTTTCTTTATGACTTCTTATGCCAAAAAATTTACTCAAACTTCAGATAAATCAATTGAAGTTATTTAACATTCTAAAAATTCCCTAATTTTTACAAGAAATAGTATGTGGGTTAAAATATCAGGAGATGCTAATTTTGACATTGCTATGAGAAGTTTTGATAGAATTTGATAATACAGGCCACAATCAGAAATGATAAAGAAAAATTTCTTTTTTTAAGGAAAAATTCAAGCTAAATACAACAATAAAAATCAATTTAAAAACTGATAACTTCCGTGATATATTGTTCCTTTAAATGTCTGACAATTCTTTCAGACATATAGAAAATGACCATCCATTATATAACACTTTGAAATATATATTTCAAACGGAACCAAATGATTTTTATTTTATAAAATGAACGATCCACAAATCAAACTAAGATTATAAAATCTAAATTAAGTTCATTAATTTTCATTCAAATCCTTCTTTCCAATTGAAACACAGACGTAGCCAGACATTCCAATGCACCATTGTACACAGAATGGTACAAAATTGCCTAAAGATCTTCAATTAGCCTTAATGTCATTGTTTTTGAAAGTAAAATATTTTTTATCATCCATAAAAACAAGTCTCTCTTTAAGAAATTACAACACAATTTATGACACCATCTAGGTATTATCTTGAACTATTTCGTACTATATTTTGGAACAGCACTTCTTTGAAATGATTGAGTACAAATGATTTTTCCTTGTGTCTAACCATATAAAAAACACATTGATGCAAATCTTTTAAATAAGACAAAATAATATAAAATTGATTTTTTTAAATTTTTAAATTTTTTCAATAAACATTTAGTTTAACCCTCCATTTTCAATAAACATCTAGTTTAACCCTCCATTTTCAATAAACATTTAGTTTAACCCTCCATTTTCAATAAACATCTAGTTTAACCCTCCATTTTCAATAAACATTTAGTTTAACCCTCCATTTTCAATAAACATTTAGTTTAACCCTCCATTTTCGATAAACATTTAGACAAACGTAGTCAAAACTTTCTTAAATTTAATTAATAAAGACTTCCCAAAAAATCATAAATTTCATAAACTTTTTAACGAAAAAGAATATGTAAATTGTTAAGTATAGCTGTCCAAACATTCACAAACATTCATAACATCATTACTCCAATACACCAATGCTTCTTAAAAATCATTTAACAAATTAAATGCATTTTTTAAAGGATATTACAGTATAAAGCATGTAAAAAATACTTTATAAAAAATAAATCTAAATAAAATTCTTACCAACGCAATTATCACACATACTACAATGTGATGCTCTTGGTGGACGGAATATTTTACAAGTGAAGCAATACTTAAGTTTAAATTGTTTTCCTTTAATTTCAATATCAAGTTGTCTAGCTGGAGGTCGATAAACTCCAGGTTCATTAGTGGCTGGAACTAAAAACAAAAAAAATCTTAACGTTTTTTTTTTTTGAATAAATTTATTTTTAACATGGCTGCAAGTAATATTAAACAGTGGTTCTCAAGAATTCTGAAGCATTTTATGTTTGATAAAAAAAAAAACAAAAAAAAAACTAGATGAATAAAAGCATTTTTAGAAACATGGAATAATTAAGGAGATTTTCTAAACCACAAGTGAATCAAGATTATGTTTTGGTAGAAGAGATGCTTGCGCAACAACAATGGTTGTATTTGTAGAAAAGAAAAATTATCAACCTTTATTCCAATCTTAAAGATATATTAAAAGGGATGACGTGATAATGAGTTTTGGTAGATGGAACTAAAGTTAATAGCTCATTTAAGCTGAGACTATAATAGAACTTGTAGAAAAGAGAAAGAGATACAATCTTACAATGATGGACTATGCAATAAAAGTAAAATACAACATTTAAATTATCATTTACATATTTACTCTTTTAAATTATGTTATTTGATTCACAAAATAAAAATATTTAGATAATTCTCATTCATTTTACTAAATAATACATTAATTACTAATTTAAAAAATAATTGAATAGGGAAAAATTTAAAGATATGATAAAGAAGCTAAAGAACTTGAAGGTAAGTTATAGATAAGTTGAAGAAGACTCAGTTACAGTATTTTATAACAAAATAATTTTTTTATATTTGTTTTTCCATTGATTATTCTGATTTTTTAAAGTAATTGAAGATAACTGAAATTATTTGGTGAACAATTTAAGAAGTTTTAAGACATTAATGATATAACATTATGCTAAATAGAAGAATAAAAACAATTATTTTAATAAATTTAATCAGTTTTAATAAATTAATTCAGTGTTTAAAATAAACAAGAGAAACTTTTTTTCTCAAAATATTTGACATTATTTTAAAACAACATTCATTATGGTTTTTCTCAACCTTATTAGTGAGACACTCACATTCTCGTATACACTGGTTTACACCTTACTATAAAAGGTGTAAACCAGCACATCAATTGAACTGATTGTTCTGGTTTAACTAGTGATTGTACCCAAAATCACAGTTGCTTAACATAAGATGGAATGTATTGTAGATTGAAGCATGAGTTTGGTGGCCGATGAACATTGACTTTGTATGCTGATAACTATCTAAGAACATGACATTTAGCCTCATTTTAACTGTTCAATCCTTTTTCTTTTCTTTTCTGCTAAACATGAGGCAATCACAAATATTTTTTTTATAAAAGACATGATTTTAATGCAACACATTAAAATTGAAGATTAAAGTCACAGTTTAAAAACATCTTTGGCTTTAGATGTTTTTAAACTGTGCAGGCACTCACATTCTTGTTAGGAGGCATTTGAGTAGGAATATGTTAGTTTGAAATATGCATGTCTTTCACAGCTAAACAACATGTTGTCGATTTTTGGAATGGTAAAAACCATAAATTGATTATATTATACATATATATATATATATATATATATATATATATATATATATATATATATATATATATATATATATATATACATATATATATATATATATATATATATATATATATATATATATATATATATATATATATATATACATATATATATATATATATATATACATATATATATATATATATATATATATATATATATATATATATATATATATATATATATATATATATATATATATATATATATATATATATATTTACAATACATTTTTGGCCTTGCCTAGAAAAAAGCATTAAAAGAAAAACCAGTCTAAATATGACAAAAGTATTTCATACAAAAATAGATTCAAACAGGTAGTAAGAAAATAAGAAGAGTAATAAAATGACCAGCACAATGAGAAACATACACCAACTTTACACTATACTTAGCATACACTAACTTTAGATTGAATACATGAATTCCATGAAAGTTCAGTAATAAAAGAAAATCTTTAGACATAAAGTAGAGGACTCAGTAACAATGTAACATTCAACAGTAAAAATATCAACATAATGGTTAGTAATGAATTTTGTTTGTGTTAGTTTAATGTAACAAACTTCTAATCACAATAAATAAATAAATAAAAAGTAGTTTTTGCGGATGTAGTGGTCCCTTGGCTTTGGTGAGGTAAATTACACACACACTAGCAATAACACCAACAGCTTTTTTTCGTTTTCGACCGAGATCAGTAGATGAAAAATTTCTATTTTTTACTATATGAAGAAGTAAACTTTCATTTCTTTTATTTGGAATCAGAGTCTTCCATGACATGGAAGATTTTATTTGGAAATGCTCAGAGTCTTCCATGACATGGAAGATTTTATTTGGAAATGCTCAGAGTCTTCCAGGACATGGAAGATTTTATTTGGAAATGCTCAGAGTCTTCCAGGACATGGAAGATTTTGAATTGTATTGTATCTTTAATATCGGCTGATTATTCTGCTAATAGTGGCATGTGTTGTGTTAAAAAGTTTTGCAGTTTCTCTCATTAAGATGTTTTGTTCATTCATTACTATGATTTCACATTTTGTTATATTATCAATAATTTTTCCAGTCAATTTGATTATTTTATTGCTGAAATATTTAGTTAATTAGGTACTCATTTTTCTATTTTATTTTTACGCAAATTTTTCAAATATTTATAACAATTTAAACAAAAATTCTCAAATAACTATTAATAGTTCGCAAATAAGTGCAAAGTTTTAAATAAAGATAAATATAATTTTGAAGGAAGTTTGATATAGAGTGGATTGTTAATTTTGGCCAGAATAATTTTTATAGATTATGAGGTACATGTCAAAAAAAAGCAATATAATTAGCACAATGCCGACCTTAAATTGTTTGAGGTCAGCTAAAATTTGCCGACCTTATTTCAATGTCTTATGGTGCGACCTTTGTATCAAATTCTTTTTGCTGACCTGATGCCGAACTCTAAAAGATTGAAGTCAGCAAATTATTAATGACCTCATTTTTCTTGATTCTGAGGGTTGATATATATATATATATATATATATATATATATATATATATATATATATATATATATATATATATATATATATATATATATATATATATTATTAAAATATATATTATTAAAATATATATTATTAAAATATATATTATTAAAATATATATTGTTAAAAAATATATTACTAAAAATATTTTTTTTAATTTTCAAAAAATACACTAATACAAAGTATTTTTATAAAATAAATTAAATAAACTTTAAGCACTAGAGGCCTTTCAAAAAATCATCAGTAGTGCTGTTTTGGTATTGTAGCAAGATTTTTGTATACAAAATATAAATAATTTTAATTGCATATTGTTGCTATGAGTAACTATTATGATGAATTAAATTCTAATAATACACAGAATGTTTTTGTTAGTAAAGATGCTTTTTGTATGATAACAAAAAAATTGTTAAGCTCAAGGAAAACAAAAAGTTGAGAAAAAGGTTCAACTACATTAGTTTTGCCAGTATATGTGGCTTGTTTTTTGCATGCCAAACATTTAAGGTAATAAATTACATTTTTGCTGTTGCGTGTGATGTGACATTTTATTTTCCAGATAGTGCTATTAGAAGTTTCAAACTCATCTACTTCTTAAAGGTAGAGTCTGCATATTTTACACCGAATGTCTTTGCATTTAAATATGCCAATCTTCTTATTATTTGCTTCTACTTTTGAAGAAGTAAGTCTTCTTAGTAAGTTAGGAGATTGTTTAAAAGCTAATACTGGATGAATATTAGAAAAAACATTTTTGACTCTTTCGTTATAAGTTACTTTGATTAAAAGGTTAGCTTCTGAGATTAAAGGTTGACAATTGAAATTGCTAGTTATCATTAAAATGAGATTTGACAATTGAGATTGCTGTTATCACTAAATGAAATATTTCTTTAGACTTCTTTTGTGGTTCTGGTCCTTGTAGTTTTGCATTATGAAATGCTTTATCTATAATTACATCAGGATATTCACAATCTTTTGAAAATTACAAAAAAATTCAAACAGACATTTATTTTAAAGAAACACTCCTGACTTCTTAAACTATAACATTCATCATCCATTAAACATCAAAAAGAATATTCCTTATAATTTAGCTAATTATGAAATTGAAAAACTTTGTCTAGTAGAACTAAAGTCATGGTTGAAAGAAATATATATATATATATATATATATATATATATATATATATATATATATATATATATATATATATATATATATATATATATATATATATATATATACATATATATTTCTTTTGAAATTTAATAAATTTCTTTTTAAAAGTTAGGACAAAATAAAATTAGTACATATTCAAAAAAATGTTTAAGAATAAGTTTTAATCCATAATTTTTAAGAAAGGTTAAATTTCAACTTTGTTAAGTTCGTTCAAAATGGTTTCTAATATTTTTAAATTTAGTTTTTTTCATATTACTTGTATAAAGATTACAAATAGAAAAAAAAAGTAAAAAAACTGCAATGAGCAAAAAAATAACAAAAAAAATAAACAGCTAAATTTGTAAAAACAAAGTTTAAATTTTACAAAAATATACAAGTACACAAAAAAAAAGTTTACCAATTATGAAGTAACATAAACTAATTATAATGCTAGTGCCAATAAATAAAGCATCACTCCATCAAATACTCCAAACTTTTGATTGAATTGTTTATTTTTATTTGAATTTAAATAAATATATTTCTTGAATTGTTTTAAAATTCTTTTTGATTGCATGACTTCTTCTATTGTAAACTTTTCACACACTTAAAAATAGTGCAATATAAATAGTTACTTATTTCTGTATTGAACTCTTTTATATACAAAAAAACAAAAAGAGTCATAAAAGTTGAAAATTAAGGTGATAAAATTATGTTTAAATATTTATGCGACACAAAGATCTCAAAAAGTGACCAACGGAGCCACCCAGTTACGGAGACCTGGGAGATGTAAAAATGAAAATAGATTGTAGATGGTGTCGTTGAATAAAAAATAAAAAT